TCGGCCGGTACCCCGACGGGGGCAACGCTAACGACTGAACATTTACCCATCAGCCATGCAGCTCCTCACGGCGTGCCACGCTTGAGCTTCGGGTGATTTTTTAAAGAGGTTATCATCCTCGCGACTCCAGGCGGTTAAGCCAAGAGCCCTCGGCTCCTAAGGCGCCGCGAGACGTGATCCACGACACGCCAGAGGGATTCCGAGGTTCGAATGGTGGCAGAGTCGATACGGGTTCTTCTCATGCCTGCCCAGAGACGGGGTTAGGGAACACTGAGCCCATTCAGTTTCCTTTTTTACAGGGTGTGGTCCCTGAAAATCCCGCGATTACGGGTTGCCCGGCGTCGGCAAAAGCCGAGTGCACCTGGCACCTCACCGCGCATGTCACATTCTCTGTTCCTCTCAAGGGAGAGGATACAGGAAGCAACTAATAGGCCCTCCGCTATGCAAAAAAGCCCTCACCCAGCCAGTTTTGGTCCGCGACGGTTTCCCGCTACCACCCATATCTGAGTGGCGTTCCCCTATCCGCCACCTGGGGACGCGCCCGATGGGAGCTCTGGCAACTCCACACGGGAACCATACCTAACCTAACCTTTTTTTTTTTTTTTTTTTTACATGGGGAAATGCCTACGCATACCCGCCTCACGGGGGTAAGGACGGGTTATGTCGGACTCGCACCGACTAAAACCCCATGGTGTTCCACACTCGTCGCATATTGGCAGGGCCACGGGAACGCTTTCGCACACTTCCGCGGCCCCACCTGCGCTGGCCGCCCCATGGCGGCCCCTCCTCGGGAGAGGAACACTCCTCCCCCATCTCCTTCTCAGGTAAGGCGCACCAGAACACATGGTGCGCCCTCCTCCTCGGCCTCCAATTTCCAATGCGCAACGGACGCCCCCGTGTCCGATGCGCGAAGGCCATGGGGCCAGGAAAAACTAGCACTCAGAAGCACCGGCCTTCCTGGCCCCAGCGGCGGATCTGGTCTATGGCTCCGCCGCCAACCGAGATTCGGCTGCGGAGGGTAGGGAGAGCGGCGCCTCGCAATACCGACACTCCTCTCCCCCCGCAGCCCCACCACCACCGCATCATTAACGGTGCGGCCCCGTCAGAGTCGCGGAGGATAGGGCGAGTGGCGCATCGCCATACCAGCACGCCTCCTCCTCCGCGACTCCACCTCGGCTGCTGCGATAGAGGGAGCGGACACCCCTCTCGCAGCATCCCACCGACACACATCCGAAGTGGGCTTCCCAAGCCCACTCGGAGTGGCCACCTCGGGCCTGCCTTACACCACGGGCCAGCCAAGGGGTTCCTCTTTGTTCACCGTGGTTGACCAGGCCACGGCTACTAAGCCCCCCCGCCACGACAAGGCGGGAACCCGTTCGGGGGGGATACCTAACCTAACCTAACCTAACCTTTTTTTTTTTTTTCGTGGGGAAATCCTCATGGATACCTCCGGCTGCGGGGGCAACCGGAAGGTTATGCCGGACTCCTACCGGCTAAAACCCCACGGTGCACGGGAATCCAAATTCTTCCGCAGCCCCACACTAGTGCTGGCCCGGTCTGTCCGGGCCTCGTCTCCTGCACGGGGTAGCGAGGTGTTTAGCTACCCCCCTCCACAGCCTCCAACTACACCTGCGTATCGGACCCCCCCGAGTCCGATACGCGGAGGCCATGGGGCCCGGAAAATCGAGCGCTTAATAGCGCCCGCTTTCCCGACCCCAGCGGCGGATCTGGTCTCGGGCTCCGCCGCCAACCAAGTTTCGGCCGCGGAGGGTAGGGAGAGCGGCACCTCGCAATACCGACACTCCTCTCCCCCCGCGGCCCCACCACCACCGCATCAACGGTGCGGCCCCGTTTGAGTCGCGGAGGATAGGGCGAGTGGCGCATCGTCATACCAACACACCTCTTCCTCCGCGACTCCACCTCGGCTGCAGCGGTAGAGGGAGCGGACACCCCTTCCGCCGCAGTCCACCGACACACATCCGAAGTGGGCTTCCCAAGCCCAATCGGAGCGGCCACCTCGGGCCGGCCCTACACCACGGGCCAGCCAAGGGTTCCTCTTTGTTCACCGTGGGTGACCAAGCCACGGCTACTAAGCCCCCCCGCCACGACAAGGCGGGAACCCGTTCGGGGGGGAACCTAACCTAACCTAACCTAACCTTTTTTTTTTTTAGGGGGAAATCCTCATGGACTACATGGGAAAGGCGGAGGGGCGTGCCGGACTCTTACCGGCTAAAACCACCCCGGTGTCTCCTCACACGTGCGCGTGGGGCCGCGGGAATCCAAATTCTTCCGTAGCCCCACACTAGTGCTGGCCCGGTCCGTCCAGGCCTCTCCTGCACGGGGTAGTGAGGTGTTAAACTACCCCGTTTATCGCCTCAGGGGCGCGCACCGACACCCGCGTGCGCCTCCGCCTCGGGTCCATCGAGTAGGGGTGGCGGGGGCTTCCCCAAGTCCCTCGCCCCTGGACCCATTTATGGGGGCCGGAAAAGGGCGTTGTCCGCCCTTCTCCTGCGCCCGGTGCGCCTTCTGCGGCCAGGGAAGGGAGTCGAGATCTCCCTTTCCCGTTCCGCAGTTTCCTTCTGCGACATCACGTCCTCGCAGAAGGACACCACTGCATCCCACGACTCTGCGCTACCGACCATCTTCTGAACTAAGGCCGGCAGCGACAGATCGCCTCCTACTTTATTTGTGAGGACACGGCGCTGCTCCTCCCAAGCTACACACTCGGCGAGCGTGTGTTGCGCCGTGTCCTCCCCGCAATGGACGCAGTGGTGGCACCGAGCGTCCGGCTCCCTGTCTATGCGGCGCAGGTACTTGCCGAAGCAGCCATGCCCCGACAGCACCTGCGTCACCCTAAACGATAGGTTTTTTTCGAGGGTAGGTGCAAAACAGATAACAGCTGAAATTATCTCTCGTATTTTATTTACATTTAAAAATAAGTATAATTAACTTAGCTGTTTAATTTTTAACTCGTTTGTAAAAATAAGTGTTAGCATTTATTATCACTTATAGGAATGTGCATTTAAATAAGTTAAAAAACTTAAATTCATCCTCCCCCCATAACATCTGTCACACTAAATAAAAATTACTATTCTTCTATCTCTCCTCGGTTAATTCACATTACTACAATGGCAAATGTCTCTGAAGTTGTTAATATCCAAAAGGAATTGGAAGGGAGTTTGACCCGGAAGATGGCAGAGTTTGAGAAACGTCTGAAGGCTGCAACTACTCCAACTAACCCAACAGTTTTACAGCTTCGGGAGGAGTTCGATTCATTCAAGGTACTTGTTAGTTCCATGTTCAGCCTGCTGCAACAGCAAATTCAGGAATGCAACAAAAGTGTTGATGCAATCAGTATGTATCACCGGAGAAAAGTTCTGCTTTTTCATGGAATAGCTGAGGCTTCTGAAGTTGACCTAAAACAGCAAATTCTACAACTGTTGCACAAGTATCTGGGTCTAACTCATATTACAGATGACTCTCTCAAGAAATGCCACAGACTTGGTGTTCAATCCAGTATCCGTCCTAGGCCAATTCTTGTGCACTTTAATGATTATAGCACTAAGTCTACGATTTGGAACTTAAAATCTAAGTTTAAAGGGTCTGCCATTTCAATGTGTGAATTCCTCACTAAATTTCGTCAGTCCATACATAAGAATGCCCGTAAGCATTTCGGAATTAGAAATGTCTGGACTATTGATGGTGCAATCTATGTAAAGTACTCGGGAGGCCGAACGAAGATTTCCACTGAGGAGGAATTGGAAGATCTAATAGCCAAGTACCCCATGGATGGTTCCCCTGAGAGTTCTAACAAGGCCCCTAATACAAAGGTCACTCCAACGCAGCAGGGCTCTTCGAATCGGCAGAATGATGCAGCACGTCGCACTCAAACTTCAGCGGTAACTCACATTGATGACGTAAAGAGATCTAGACGACTGTTAGGCAAGAAGTAATTCCTACATTGCTTTTAATTTTACAAGGTATCCTTGTTATTCTTATTATCATATTTTGGTTATGTTTATTTCCTTTCGTATTTTTTTTTCATTTTGTGGTAACATACTTATTTTTAGCTTTATAAACCGTCAGCATTAGATTATAATATAAATCGATCGTATTCCAATTCTATGTAAATAATTTGCAATAACATGTCTTAAGTATTCCCTTTATTCATATTCCAATTGTTTTATGTTGATTAATAACTTATTTTATTATTTGATTTTTATACTGTAGTAAACTTTAGTTGTATTTGTAAATTTTAGTAGATTAGTTTGTGTTTGTGATTTGCATTACCTACCTACCTTTGTATGTAAAAGTGTTAAAATGTTATTAATTACCATAGATAAATGTTATTGTAGTCCGTAGATGCTAGAGCTAGACATAGACAGTGGCAAAGACAAGGCAAAGACTATTGACCATAGATAATAACTTTTACTGTCAACACAGTAATGGTAACATGGGCACAGATACTTTTGCCATACAGCCGAATTTTGTACTTTTGTAGATTTAAATTTTCTTAATGTTTTTTTATATAATTTGTTTTCAAAATCTTGAGTTATTTTAAGCTGATTTTTATTGCTAATTTTTTTTCCGATTATAATAATACTGTAGTGCCCTGCTGTTTAGATATTTAGTTTTCGTTTTATTTTTTATATGTATATAATTTTTGTTTATAATTAGAATCACTGTGTTGGCTTGCTATTTACTTAGGTTCTTAGATTATGTTTTGTTTTTTTATATATATATATATTTCGTTCCTGCTTTAATTGATAGTTCAGTAGAATTGCTTTTTTTTTTATTTAGTACTGATTATATCATGTAAACAGTTAACTGGTGGGATGATGTTTCATGATTTATTAATATTTAAGTCTTATTTTTCTATATTTTGGTTATATATTTTTTTATATATCATCGATAAATATCTTTATTTAAATCGTATTTTTATATATTTCTATTTTATTTATTTTTATATTGGGTATATTATGCTATAATATTAACTTATCATGTCTGACTCTGACTCTTTTTATTCTATTGAGTCAGAGAGTTCTTTTGTATCTTTTGATGATCAGATAAGTCATAGTGTGCCCTCTTTAAGTAGCCAATTGAATAGCATTTTTCACTTTTTTGATAAAACGTTAAATGTTTGCCATATTAACGCACAAAGCATTCCCAGCCACTTTTCTGAGCTAGAAGCATCATTCTCTAACAATAATATACATGCTATCTTAGTATCAGAAACTTGGTTGAAACCGTCTTTACATTCGGCATTGTATCCTCTTCCTGGGTTTGTACTGATTAGGAATGATCGTATAGATAAAGGAGGAGGTGGAGTTGCAATATATCTCCACGCTTCAATTTCCTACAAAATCATATTAGCATCCCCTTCTCCTTATACTGCTTCCGCTGAATTCCTTTTTATAGAACTAGATGTAAAGGGCTCAAGGATGATTCTTGGAGCAGTGTATTGTCCTCCTTCCACTAATTACTTCGCCAATTTAGAAGAGGCTCTTGATAACATTGGTTCTGAGTACGCTCACTGCATAATCATGGGAGATTTCAACACGGATTTACTGAAAAATTCAGTCCGGTCTCAAAAGCTTCGTGAAATCATTGAGTCTGTCAATCTCAACATTCTTCCTTTAAAGGCAACTCATCATAATATCGACACTGATGACTCTCTGATTGATCTCATCATAGCTGACTCCTCTGACAGGGTGCTGTCATATGGGCAACTTGAAGCGCCGGGATTTTCCCGCCATGATCTTGTTTATGTATCATACAACCTTAAACCTCCCAAATATCAACCTACTGTACTGTCCTTACGTAATTTTAGTAGAATTAATATGGATAAGCTTTTGAAAGACGCATCGCTAATAGATTTTACGCCATTAGCTACTGCATCCACTGTAGATGATAAAGTAACTATTTTCAATAACATAATTCATGTTTTATATGATAACCATGCTCCTGTACGTAAAGTAAAACTACGACGTCCACCAGCTCCCTGGATGACTGAAGAGGTACGGAAAGCCATGACCAGACGAAATCGAGCCTTTGCCCGGTTCAAGAGGAGCAGATCTGAGGAAAACTGGTTATCTTTTAAGAAGGCCAGAAACAGATGCAATCAGATGGTACGTTCTGCAAAACGCCGATTTATCCATAGCAATATAAGTAATTCTTCGCCAGCTGATGTGTGGAAATTCCTTAGTTCTCTAGGTTTGGGTAAAACACCTTCTTTGTATTGTGGTTTATCTCTTTCTCACGATGCTTTAAATATTCATTTTGCTTCTGCTTCTGCATTGGACCATTCAATCCGATCCCAAACAGTCGCTTACATAGCTTCAATTCCGTCTCCGCACATACCAGTCTTTCTTTTTAACCCTGTTGATCAGGATGAAATAAGAAATACTCTTCTGGCAATAAAATCCAAGGCTGTCGGTTGCGATGATATTAGTAGAGCCATGATTATTAATATTCTAGAACCTATTCTTCCCGCAATTACGCATATTGTTAATTTTTCGCTTGACTCGGGTCAGTTTCCGAGTCAGTGGAAAAAGGCTTTCATTAGACCCCTTCCTAAAGTATCCAATCCTACACTTCCCAATCATTTCCGCCCCATATCAGTTTTACCTTTCCTATCTAAAGTTCTGGAAGCCTGTGTTCATAAGCAAATTTCCAATTTCATATATAAACATAACCTGCTGAGTACTTTTCAGTCCGGGTTTCGTCCTGGTCACAGCACTACAACTGCCTTACTCAAAATAACTGAAGATATTAGAGAAGGAATGGATAACAAGAAAGTTACAGTTGTGGTGCTCGTTGACTTTTCTAACGCTTTTAACACAGTTGACCATGATATCCTTCTTGCTATCCTTTCTCATTATAGGTTTGCATCGTCAGTCCTGGAATGGATCTCATCTTATCTTCGCGGACGTCAACAGTCTGTCCAAGTGGAGCAAATGACTTCACAGTGGGTTGAGCTGATTTCTGGCGTACCGCAAGGCGGTATACTTTCTCCTTTAATCTTCTCTATTTTTATTAATTCCATCACATCTAATATTGATTGTTCGTACCATCTGTATGCTGATGACCTACAATTTTATGTACAGTCTAACATTTGTGACATCCACAATGCAATTAACAAATTGAATTCCAATCTCAAGTCAGTACGTGATTGGTCCATGCGCTTTGGAGTATCTGTCAACCCTACGAAATGCCAAGCGGTGATTATGGGTAGCTCAAGGATGCTTGCAAAAATAGATGCCGCTAGCCTACCTCCCATCTATTATAATGATCGTCTGATACCGTTCTCTTCCTCAGTTAAAAATCTTGGTCTCCATATTGATAGTACTCTGTCCTGGGGGGTTCATATCTCCGAAACATGCCGTAAAGTCTCCGGGTCTTTACGTTCTCTCCATCGCTTGAAAAATTTTCTCCCCTTTAAGACTAAAATTATGCTTGTACAGTTACTTATACTACCTATCATTGATTATGCTGATGTGTGCTACTCGGATTTAAACCAAAATCTTCTTAACAAGCTAGAGCGCCTACTCAACAATTGCGTCAGATACATTTTCAATCTTCGTAAATTTGATCATATCTCTCACTATCGCTCTCGCCTTAAATGGCTCACTATTAAACAGAGGCGTGACTCTAGAATTTTGCTTGTTCTCTTCTCTATCTTAAATGATCCATCCACTCCTTCTTATCTCAAGGAGAAATTTCAATATATTTCCTCAAAGCATGATAGAACTCTGCGGTCCTCATATAATAATAAACTAAGTATCCCACTACATTTTACTAATTTTGTTGGTAAATCCTTCACCATTCAGGCTGCACTGCTCTGGAACTCCTTACCCGATGACGTCAGAAATACATCTAATAAGACTGCCTTTAAAAGATTGGTTCACAAGCACTTTAATGATAGTTAGTATGGTCAATTTGGTTACCTTTGTTGTTATTCTATTTATAGGTTTATGTTATATATCTATTTGTATTTATAATATGTATATATTAATGTACCTATATATTTGTATGTAAATATAATATATTGTCTGTATTATATTTTATAGTATATAAGTTTATTGTATTTATATATATAATATTAGTTTATTTTTAAGTTTATCAGTAGTTTTTTTCCTTGATTTACTCTATTGTTCATTTTATTTTGTCACCTATCACCTAATTTCCACACGTCCCGGGTTGACTGGGAGAGAATGCCTAAAGGCATTAAGTCCGCCCTTTGTAATCCTTTAATTAAGGTGCAATAAAGTGTAAATAAATAAATAATAAATAAATAGGGAGCCGTGCCTTCTCCCGAGCCAGTCATCGAGTACTGGCCGGATCGCCTCGACGGTAGCGAGGCCGGCGGTAGGGCGCAGAAGCCTTTGCCGCTATTCCGCCACCAAGACCTGACGGAGCTCCTCTCGGCGCAGCGCGATCTGCCGCTGCACCGGCCTCGAGCCCCGTGCCCGCTCTTCCTCGCGCCATCGATATAATGACGCGAGTACTTTCGCCTCTAGGTCCCAGGGCGGGGATCCGGCCAGGACGCAAGCCGCCTCGTAGGAAATCGTGCGATACCCGCGGGCGACTCTGACGGCCATCGCCCTCTGCGGTTTACGCAGAATGACACCACCGCATCCCACGACTCTGCGCTACCGACCATCTTCCGCACTAAGGCCGGCAGCGACAGATCGCCTCCTACTTTATTTGTGAGGACACGGCGCTGCTCCTCCCAAGCTATACACTCGGCGAGCGTGTGTTGCGCCGTGTCCTTCCCGCAATGGACGCAGTGGTGGCACCGAGCGTCCGGCTCCCTATCTATGCGGCGCAGGTACTTGCCGAAGCAGCCATGCCCCGACAGCACTTGCGTCACCCTAAACGACAGGGAACCGTGCCTTCTCCCGAGCCAGTCGTCAAGTACTGGCCGGATCGCCTCGACGTTAGCGAGGCCGGCGGTAGGGCGCAGAAGCCTTTGCCGCCATTCCGCCACCAAGACCTGACAGAGCTCCTCTCGGCGCAGCGCGATCTGCCGCTGCACCGGCCTCGAGCCCCGTGCCCGCTTTTCCTCGCGCCATCGATATAATGACGCGAGTACTTTCGCCTCTAGGTCCCAGGGCGGGGATCCAGCCAGGACGCAAGCCGCCTCGTAGGATATCGTGCGATACCCGCGGACGACTCTGACGGCCATCGCCCTCTGCGGTTTACGCAGAATAGCGAGAGTGCTGGCCGTCATGTCCATCGCCCACACAGGGGCCCCATACAGGGCCATGGACCGCACGATTCCGACGTACAACCGCCTACAGGCGGCGCTCGGGCCCCCCAAGTTGGGAAGCAACATTGATAGCGCGCCCGCTGCACCCATCAGCTTGGGCGCCAGCCGCCGGAAGTGGGGTCCGAATTCCCATCGGCTGTCAAGCACCAATCCCAGATACTTCATGGTGGACTCGACAGCTATCCGGGCCCCGCTGACCACGATGTGTGAACCCGGCGGCGGCGCGCGTCGAGGGCCATGGAACACCATAGCCTCCGACTTACTAAGGGCCACCTCCAGGCCCAGGCGCCGGATGCGGTTCACCACTTGTGACACCGCAGCCGTGGCAACCAACGCTGCTTCCCTGTGCGAACTCCCCCGGGCAGTGACGAGCGTGTCGTCCGCATAACACGTCAAGTCGGCGCCCGAAGGGAGTTCACCTCTCAGCACCCAGTCGTAGCCGATGTTCCACAGGAGCGGTCCCAAGACCGATCCCTGCGGAACACCGCACGACATGACGCGCCGACCAGCGCCATCACGTCCCCAATAGGTAACGCATCTCTCCTCAAGGTAAGCCCCTATTGTGCGGCGGAGGTAGGGAGGCACGCGATGGTAATTCAGCGCCTCCCGAATACAACTCCAGGGTAGGGTGTTGAAGGCGTTGGAGATGTCTAAGGACACCGCCAGCACCACCCCACCCCGGGATACTGTCTCCTCCGCCAGGGCCCTCACGCGCGTAATAGCGTCTATGGTGGAGCGCCCGCGACGAAAACCAAACTGGTTGTCATCCAGGTCCGGCCCCTCTCTGCACAAGTGGCTGACGAGGCGATCTGGTCTATGGCTCCGCCGCCAACCAAGATTCGGCTGCGGAGGGTAGAGAGAGCGGCGCCCCGCAACACCGACACTCCTCTCCCCCCGCAGCCCCACCACCACCGCATCATTAACGGTGCGGCCCCGTCAGAGTCGCGGAGGATAGGGCGAGTGGCGCATCGCCATACCAACACTCCTCTTCCTCCGCGACTCCACCTCGGCTGTCGAGATAGGGGTGGGGAGGACACCCCTCTCGCAGCAGCCCACCGACACACATCCGAAGTGGGCTCGCCAAGCCCACTCGGAGTGGCCACCTCGGGCCGGCCCTACACCACGGGCCAGCCAAGGGGTTCCTCTTTGTTAACCGTGGGTGACCAAACCACGGCTACTAAGCCCCCCCGCCACGACAAGGCGGGAATCCGTTCGGGGGGGAACCTAACCTAACCTAACCTTTTTTTTTTTTTTTTTGTTTCGTGGGGAAATCCTCATGGATACCTCCGGCTGCGGGGGAAACCGGAAGGTTATGCCGGACTCCTACCGGCTAAAACCCCACGGTGCCTCCTCGCACATGCGCGCGGGGCCGCGGGAATCCAAATTCTTCCGCAGCCCCACACTAGTGCTGGCCCGGTCTATCCGGGCCTCGTCTCCTGCTCGGGGTAGCGAGGTGTTCAGCTACCCCCCTCCACAGCCTCCAACTCCACCTGCGTATCGGAGCCCCCCGAGTCCGATACGCGGAGGCCATGGGTCCAGGAAAATCGAGCGCTTAATAGCGCCCGCTTTCCCGACCCCAGCGGCGGATCTGGTCTCGGGCTCCGCCGCCAACCAAGTTTCGGCCGCGGAGGATAGGGAGAGCGGCGCCTCGCAATACCGACACTCCTCTCCCCCCGCGGCCCCACCACCACCGCATCAACGGTGCGGCCCCGTTTGAGAATCGCGGAGGATAGGGCGAGTAGCGCATCGCCATACCAACACTCCTCTTCCTCCGCGACTCCACCTCGACTGCAGCGGTAGAGGGTGCGGACTCCCCTCTCACCGCAGCCCACCAACACACATCCGATGTGGGCTTCCCAAGCCCACTCGGAGTGGCCACCTCGGGCCGGCCCTACACCTCGGGCCAGCCAAGGGGTTCCTCTTCGTTCACCGCGGTTGACCAAGCCACGGCTACTAAGCCCCCCCGCCACGACAAGGCGGGAACCCGTTCGGGGGGGAACCTAACCTAACCTTTTTTTTTTTTTTTTTTTTTTTTTTTTACATGGGGAAATGCCTACGCATACCCGCCTCGCGGGGGCAAGGACGGGTTATGTCGGACTCGCACCGACTAAAACCCCATGGTGTTCCACCCTCGTCGCATATTGGCAGGGCCACGGGAACGCTTTCGCACACTTCCGCGGCCCCACCTGCGCTGGCCACTCCATGGCGGCCCCTCCTCGGGAGAGGACTACTCCTCACCCATCTCCTTCTCAGTTAAGGCGCACCAGAACACATGGTGCGCCCTCCTCCTCGGCCTCCAATTTGCAATGCGCAACAGACGCCCCCGAGTCCGATGCGCGAAGGCCATGGGGCCAGGAAAAACTAGCACTCAGAAGCACCGGCCTTCCCGGCCCCAGCGGCGGATCTGGTCTCGGGCTCCGCCGCCAACCAAGTTTCGGCCGCGGAGGGTAGGGAGAGCGGCGTCTCGCAATACCGACACTCCTCTCCCCCCGCGGCCCCACCACCACCGCATCAACGGTGCGGCCCCGTTTGAGTCGCGGAGGATAGGGCGAGTGGCGCATCGCCATACCAACACTCCTCTTCCTCCGCGACTCCACCTCGGCTGCAGCGGTAGAGGGTGCGGACTCCCCTCTCACCGCAGCCCCCCGACACACATCCGAAGTGGGCTTCCCAAGCCCACTCGGAGTGGCCACCTCGGGCCGGCCCTACACCACGGGCCAGCCAAGGGGTTCCTCTTTGTTCACCGTGGTTGACCAAGCCACGGCTACTAAGCCCCCCCGCCACGACAAGGCGGGAACCCGTTCGGGGGGGAACCTAACCTAACCTAACCTAACCCAAACTAACTCGCCACCCGCCGAAGCGTAAGCATCGTTCTAAGTGAGCTCCGCGTTTGAAAAATCGGAAAAAATAGTTAATTTAGTGCTACAGTGAAGTGCAATACGTCAAAGTGCGCGGAATAGTGTCGGCTTTGATTTGGATGCAGTGAAAATAGGTACACGATCTTGCCTGTGAGGATTTTGGCGACTTTTAGCTGAATTTTTCAAAAATCAGGTAAAATTTTACCATATTTCATTGAACGCTGCAAAATCTAAAGCTACGACCCACATATATTTTTATTCCGTTTTTTGGCATTTTGCATGGTGCACATTTTACAGCTTTTTCCAGATTTTTCGGACAAGAAAATACAGACTTATTACATATTTTCTGAAAACCACGTGGCCACGTGTTCCGAGAATTCGAAGAGTGCGGCTGAGTTTGAAATAATACTTTTATAGACCTTGTTGATTCCTCTCATAAGACGTATCGCATAAGAAAATCGGTGCACTATTTAAGTTTTCAGAAGTGAAAAACGGATAAAATACACAACTTGTCATTTTTAAAACTATTTATTTAAAAATTTTAAGCGATAACATATACTTTTTATCTCAATTTATTATAGCCCTTTTAGTGTTCTAACCATCTGCAAAATTTCAGATTTTTCTGTCTTGAAATAACAAAAATATACAAAATTTTGTAAATTCACTCTGCCACGTGGTCACTGTTGCAGCACGTTCACAGAGCTAATTATCCATAAAATAGATCCCTTTTATTATTACAAACCTTTTGAAACTTTTTTCAAAATTTTCTGTACAAGCAATCCGAAGTTATTAAATTTTTAATCAATTTTAGTAAATATTTCTATTTTATTTAAAGAAATAGAAAAATAAAAAACATCACCATATAGAGTGCACCGGGACCTTTTCTTTGATACCAAGGTCGGGGAGTCTAGCTTAAACGGTCTTCGAGTTGTAGAAATTTTTCAAATCTGGACGCCATATTGGAAAAACGTCAGAATTTTTAATTGACGATAGCTCGGCAGCCGTTGGTCGTACGAGTGTGCGGTTTTCATAATACTATATGTGAGATTAGTCTCCGTACTCTGGAATCTTTGGTTGGTGGGTGAAAATCACACATACTTTGGTGGTCATCATTGGATGGCCAAGGTCAAGCCGAGTTGAAAGAGCCCAAACTCGGTACCCTTAAGTATCATACAACCTCAGATACATAAAATTGAAATAAATTCAGCCATCTTGATCCACCATCTTAGAGATTTTCATTTTATCATAACTCTGGAACGGAGGCTCGTATCGAGTTGCGGTTTTCAATAAAGTTGTTGGCTGACTCAGCTCTATCAATTTAAGTACCTTCTGACTCTACGTAGAGTCTGCACCCAAAACTTTAAAAGCCTTGTGTCAAACTGCGATTTTTAGCGTAGACACTGTACCGATATCTGTCCCTAGTCATATTATAAGAATTTGTCTCTACCAAAAAAAATGTCAAACAAATCCACCAAATCATGCATAGAATTAGCAAAGTCCAAGCCCCCCAGTTGAACTATTAGAGGTGTTAGCCCGGTATCTGCACCAACTCTACGGAAAAAGGTTCTTTTACAAAATGCAACCTCAACGCAAAACACTACTAGCTCTGCCGCAGATACGGAGAGTTCCCAAAGGGCCATGACTGAAACATCCAGGTCCAAAAATCCAGACAATTTACATTGTAGTATAATTGGGAAGGAACATGTAGAGCAGGAAAATATCACTGCCAGAAATCCACATCAACATGACACTGCCTCTGAAAACAACACCTCTATTACGATGGATATGGAGGCGGAGCTTGACATGTTAGGAATTTGCAAGCCTGTACTCCGTACTGATGACGACTGTTTGGATTCTGATAGTGTGGCAAGTGGTGGAAGCAGGAGGTCAAGCATTTTACCGCCCGCATATAAACGGGCTGGAATTTCAATGGACCTTGCAACACAGCGCGCCAATGAGTTCTTGCTTTCAGGCAAAGAAGCATTAGAGAAAGCGGGAAACATGAAGCGCGAGTGTAAACAGGAAGTTCACGATTGCCTTCAAGGACTTTATGAAACGGTGTTATCGCTCTCGGACTCACGCTCTCGACACCGGCTCGCATTAGAACAAGAGCGTAGTCGAGCAACAAAAGAACTAGTAAGAGTCGAGAGAGCACATAACAAACAAATCTCAGACCTGCAATCCTTACAGCTTCAAAAGTTCAGGGACATCCAACAAGTCATCCAAGAAACTCAAAAATCCGTAGAGTCAATAAGGGGATGGCTTAACTATGAAATGAATGACCCTATTAAGGCTATCTACCAAATTCGACAGGATATTAGTGAAATATCCACTAGACGTACTAATGAAACCCCCAATTATACCACTGTTAATCGAGAAACTTTACCCATCGAGAACACAATGGTATTTACGAATCAGATAAGGGAGGTGATTGAACAAATAAAAGTGCTTAGCCGTAATATTGGTGACCTTAGGGATAAAATGGCAGATAAGGAAAGTATTAAGAGCATTACTTTGGCAATGGATCAGTTAAAAAAGCCACAAATAGACCCTAATGTCAACAATATCAAAGTAATTAAAAACATGATTCAAGAGTTGCAAACAAGACCTCAGTGCTCCAAATCTTCACAGGTAATATCGGCAGACGACATATTAACAGCTGTAGAACCTTTGACATTAAAAGTTGATAAACTGTCGAATGAAATAAGGGAGTTAAAAGAAAGTGGAACTAGTCAGTGGGCATACCAAAACAACTCTGGTCTAGGCACAGAGCTTGCAATAGCAGAAATCAAGGAAAAACTAGAGCACTTAGAAGCATGTAATAATAGCTCTATGATGATGAACAAAACCACTGATAACCTAAATTACCATGCTTCTAAAGAGCAGCAAGCGGCCGGTCCAAAAAGATCTTATGCTGAAGTTTTCACTAACCCTACCTTTTCTCTCGTAATAGAATCTTCTGACCCACGGCATACAAGTGAGGATGTCGTTAGTGCTATTAAGACTAATGTTGATGTAGTGCAATTGGGAGTGGGAGTCAATAAAGTTAGAAGAGCCAGAAACCAGAAGGTAGTTATTACGTGTGACACAGACGAAGACCGTAACACATTACAAAATGCGATAAAAAATTCAGATAAAAAGCTTACAGTGTCTAAGTCAATCACAAAAAAACCCCTATTAAAATTAATAGGAGTAACAAATGACTTAAGTAATGCAAAGTTAGAAGAAGCACTATTTAAGCAAAATGCTAAGTTGTTAAAAGACGTGGAAAAGGAAAAAACTAAAATTAAAGTCTTAAGACGAATCAAGGGCCGCACATCAGCAGTCAAAAATATCATAATGGAGGTAAGCCCTAATGTCTGGAAAGCATTTAAAGGTCAAAAAGTGCACGTCGGCTATCAAATAGTTCCAGCCATTGACCAGTCACCAGTAATCCAATGCTACCGATGCATGGGATTTGGTCACAGAGCGAAAGAATGCGTGGCAGACAAACAAACTTGTGGTTACTGTGCGGAGGATCATGACAGTAGGGAATGTTTACGCAGCAACGGAGCACCATCTTGTGTGAACTGTGTCAGAAACAAAATTAAGGGGGACTATTGCCATACAGCATACAGTGCCGATTGCCCAGTATGGCAGAAATGGGATAGAAAAGCAAGATCCTTAGTAGCATATTGCTAAAGTTGAACAGGCAATAAATATTGATCAACCGCAGTTGATTCTGACCACACCACATAATATACCTATCACACAAAGCACAATCCCAAGTGAATCACAAGCCATCAAATTCGTACAAGTTAATCTTGAACGAGGGATGGCGGCCTACAAAGAATCACTAAAAATGGCGGTTAAGCAACGTATTGCATTTCTTTTACTTCAAGAACCATACGTTGGTTCTAAAGCTCATGTTACCTGTAACTGTCGCGTAATACAAAAAGTCTCTAATAGCGTTGACAAGCCAGTTAAATCAGCAGTCATCGTTGTTAATCCCACTTACACAATTGTAGAAAATTCGGAATATATAACCGAGAATATTGTAGGTTTTATAGCTAAAGTAGGAAAGCATAGCATAGGCATAATCAATGTATATTTGGAAAAAAATGGCAACCTGGAAGAAGACATTAGGAAGATCACGAAAATCGCTCAAGACATGAAAATGGAAAATATTATCCTGGCGGGCGACTTCAACGCAAAGAGTCCTTGGTGGGGAAGCAGAGGGGAGGACAGTAGAGGCATGCTCTTGTCAGAAATGATAGCAGAATTAGATCTGAATGTATTAAATCAAGGCAATGAACCAACATTTTATCAATACCGAGCTGGGAAACTGCATAGTAGTTTAATAGATGTGACTTGTTGCTCTTCAGCCCTCCTACACAAGTTAGAACAATGGAGAGTAGATCTGAATTTTTCTACACTCTCTGACCACCGAGCTATCCAGTTTCAGATAAACGTTGAAATAGATAAGAAAAGTGTTGATTTCAGAAATTCTACACGTCTGTATAATACAGCTAAAGCAAAATGGCCACTGTTTAGGGACACACTACACGACTATAATAAAGATACTGAAGAACAAAGAAACATCCGAGCGGAAGTTGATATAATAATTAGAAGCCTCAAAAATTATACAGATACTACTTATATAAAATTCACTGAAGTAGAAATAGAGATGGTATTTCAAAAAATGAATCCCAAAAAGGCTCCTGGGGAGGATAGTGAATAGGAATTTGATCTCTTTTTAATAGTGAAATGCAGTAATTTGCTCAATCGACCTTTACTTGATCTCTAAATTTTACAACGACGACAGGTACAACATTTTTTAAACATACCTACACAGCTTACGGACTAATATTGGCATGAGAACTGCTAATATAATTTGACAGGCGCTTCAACATGCCCCCCGGCGTTGAAAGTCTACCTTTCAACCAGATTCTTCAGGTTCAGGAAGCGGACAAATTTTGCTAAATGATCGGCGAACTATACCAGTCGATGTTTTGATATCCGCCACCCTTGATACGCCGTCCGAGCCTGGATGGACTGCGACGATGCGACCCATCTTCCACTTTAATGGCGGTGAATTCTCCTCTTTTAGGAGTACCAGTGAATTTAACTTCAAAGAGCCTTTACAGGAACGCCATTTCATTCGCAGTTGAAGCTCTGATATATATTCCTTGCTCCATCTAGCCCAAAAATGTTGACGTAATTGTTCTATTCGTTGAAATCGGGTTAAAGAGCTTACGGAATGATCTTTATAGTCTGGTGTCGGCAAGGAAGTCAAGGGGCGTCCAATCAAAAAATGACCGGGCGTTAGTGGTAGCAAGTCTTCAGGATTCGTTGACAAAGGTGTGAGTGGTCTGGAGTTAAGTATAGCCTCAATTTGTATTAATGTGGTATTTAGTTCCTCGTAAGTCACATTACAATTGCCCAGCACTCTAACTAAATGATATTTAATGCATTTGACACCAGCCTCCGCAAGCCCAGCAAAATGGGGAGAATAAGGCGGTATGAAATGGAAATTAATTCCTTCATTTGCCATTACCTCAGATAAAGAATTACAATACGTCCTAATAAATTTTGAAATGTCATTGTATGCGCCTACAAAGGAGGTACCATTATCCGAATAAATATTAAGAGGTTTCCCTCTTCTAGACATAAATCTGCGCAAAGCTAATATGAAGGTATTGCTAGTTAAATCACCCACTAATTCAAGATGAATTGACTTAGTCGCGAAGCAAATAAAAATAGCTATATACACCTTTACAATTTTACAACCACGGCCATGGCGAGAAACAGATTGAATTGGTCCCGCATAGTCTAGTCCAATATTTTGAAATGGAAAACCAGAAAGGATGCGTTGGTGTGGTAGGTTGCCCATTATTGGAGAGATGGTTTTTCCTTTCATTCTATTACATCTTACACATTGTCGATAACAAGATCTGGCCAAATTACGACCTCTAATCGGCCAGTACATCTCTCTTATAGTGGCCAACATTAGCTGTGGTCCCGCGTGCATTAACCTTATGTGCTCATAATTGAAGAGCAATTTGGTAAAATAATGAGTGGACTGTATAAGTATGGGATGTTTTTTCTCATAACAGTAATCGGAATTTTCAAGACGCCCTCCAACACGCATTATTTTATTATCATCGAGAAATACATTAAATTTATGCAACGGACTTTTAGTGGGTAAACTTTTATTTTTAATTAACATGGTGTATTCCTCAAATGATTCACTCTGGGATATTCTTATAATAACATTGAGTGCGGTTTGCAACTCTTGATTGCTTAGAGGACCGTGAACGGATTGCTTTCTACAATTATTAATAAAACGCAGCACATAAGCAACGGTCCGATTTAATCTAGTATATTTAGAAAAGCGTTTAAATTCAATTAATTTATTCCCACCTAAATCTTCATTGTTGCTAGAATGAAGTATTCCGTGGAGGATAACATTTGACGATTTAATCTCAGGCAACTCGTGATTAATACTTAAGAAATTTGCAGGCCAGTGAGAGACCTCTTTCTTTAAAAATTCAGGTCCTGACCACCACTTACTCATGGATGAAATATCCTTACAACTCACACCGCGAGAAATATGATCGGCCGGATTACACTCTGTTGGGACATGCCTCCACTCGCAATTTCCAGTCGTCTCTAATATTTCAGCAACCCTATTTCTGACAAAGGGTTGTAGCTTGCTAGGTAACACCTTTAACCATCCTAACACGATGGACGAATCTGTCCAAAAGAAAGTGCGCTTAGCCTGTTGTCTCAGCGATGCTACAACCTTTTGGTAAAGGCGAGCTCCAACAAGTGCACCACAAAGTTCCAGTCTTGGGATTGTTATAGGTTTAAGCGGCGCGACACGACTTTTCGCCATCAATAATTGAATTAAAACCTCACCCTGATCATTAACACTACGCACATATAAACAGGCGCCATATGCTCGCTCAGAAGCGTCCGAGAAAATATGAAATTCAAACAAACTAGGCGAGTCACAAATAACACGACGTGGAATACGTAGAGTATTTAATTTAGGTAAATCGACTATTATCTCAGCCCACATCTTGCTGATTTCTGGCGTCAACTGCTCATCCCATGACAGCTTGAGCAGCCACAACTGTTGAAGAAGCATTTTCATCTTAATTACACAGGGAGATAGAAGTCCTAGTGGATCAAAAATCTGAGAAATCACAGATAACATATCACGCTTTGTTCTACCTGAGAATAGCCCTCCTATAGGGAAACAAAGTTCGTCAGTATGTGATTGCCAACCAAGGCCTAAAGTTTTAGTCGGTTCAAAGCCACCAATATTCAAATCAAGCGGAGAAATATCATTTTCACTAACCAGTTGAGATTCATTCGACTTCCACTTTCGCAAAACCATATGAGCTGATGCAAGTGTGGAAGTCACTTTACGGCGCAAATCTGTAACCTCGTTAATATCATCCCCTCCCGTTAGCAAGTCATCAACGTAAAAATCGTGAATGATCACTTGAGCAACCTTGTCATCGGTACACTCTAAGCCTAATTGTTGGAGGCACCTAGTTGCCAAAAAGGGAGCACTAGAGGTGCCGTAAGTCACGGTGTTAAGTTGATAAGCTTGAAGCTGTTCTGAAGGGTTATCACGCCAGACAATTTGTTGCAAATAGCGGTCATCGGGATGAATGACTATTTTCCGGTACATTTTCTCAACATCAGCTGTGAGAACGTATTTGTGTAGCCGAAAGCGTAAAAGAATGGACAAAAGGTCGTCCTGTACCACGGGACCTACCATCTGTATATTATTCAAGGAAACACCCGAAGAAGTCGGACTGCTAGCATTGAAAACGACTCTTAATTTAGTAGTAGTACTACTTTCCCGAAGCACACCGTGATGTGGTATAAAATGCATCTTACGTGGTAAATTATCATTATCACATTTCTCCATATGACCCAGACTTTCATACTCTGACATAAATTCTTTATACATTTCATAGACCTGAGATTGACCTGCTAACCTGCGCTCTAGCGATAGTAAACACTTTTTAGCTCGTGGCCAAGAATCACCTAATACGTCAGGATTATGTTTTAAGGGTATCCTCACGCAAAATCGACCATTTGCCAGTCGCGTGGTGTTTTTTAAAAAGTGTTCTTCGCATAATTTTTCTTCGTTTGAATAAAGAGACGCAGGGCTTACCTCTTCGAGGTGCCAGAAGCGTACTAATTGTTTTTGTATATCTTCATCTAAATCTTTACTAGCCTCATCTTGAAATATTCTTGTAAAATTACATTTAATAAAGTTAACCCCTTTCTTTACATATCTATAATCTATCGGACCTGATACTAACCATCCTAAGCTAGTTTCACAAAGAATCGGCTGACCGTCCCCTAATTTTAATCTCTGCGTTCCTATTAAGTCCCAAAAGACATCAGCACCTATAAGCATGTCAACGGGAGCAGGTGAGTGAAAATTAGGATCTGCCAGAGAAATATTAGATGGAATTTTTAAGTTTGACAAATTAACATATCTAGTAGGTACATTTTGGGTTATTGATGGTAGGACAAAACAATGAAGATTACTAGAGAAGTTATCATTCAATGATTTTATCGATACCTTACAAATCTTCTTGATGTGTGCCGAAGCATTATTAATACCGACTACCGACTGATTTACATTTTGAGCGGGCAAACCTAGCCTTTGATATAACTCTTCAGTTATTAAACAAGCGTTACTGCCACTATCAAGAATAGCACGAGCAATATATGGACAACCATTCTTACCTATAACTTTAATTAATGCCGTCGATAACAATACGTCGCCTTGTTCACTACACGATGCAGTGCCTACCTTTGCGGATAATGACAGATGTGCGTTAGAATTGGATGACAACTGTGAGCCTGTCGAACTGTTTGTTTGTTCGAAATGACCTTGCATAACGGGCTTATTATTACCACTACTCGTGTTAGATGTATTAAGGCTTTAACTAGCCTGAATGACCTTGACGAAACGGTGATCGCAGAGATTTTAGCCGATGTCAACACCGTCTAGCAACTACGTTCTGTATTACTTTTAAAAGTGCAAAGATTAATAGACTGCAGAGATGACAATTATATAAGTGACATACTGCCTGTTATGCTTGCGCATCACTGAGAATTATGTCGCAGTTACGCATCTTCAATTACATTGCACGGTGTGGTGCTGTAGCTTTGAGCTATCAAGTGTTCAAGTTTCAAGTACGTAAGAATTTTTAATATATATGTTAAATCGTATTTATTTGTGTCGTATTAAAAATATGTCGTCAAAGCTTTCGCTGTAAATTTTCCCGGGTTTGATCCCCGACGGCACGAATGAAATTTGTAATTGCAATTTTCGTCAACACGCATTGGGTAAGCACGGCGGGCATTTCCTAGCCCTAAAACCCTCTCAGAAATAAAAAAGAGTCCTGTGCCCAGTAGAGGGACTTGTATAGCCTATAACTTTACTTTGTAGCAATATTTATATTCGTTTCAGATATAGAAGGGTACCTTATGCTGACAAAAATATCATGTGGAGGCGACGAAAAGGGAAAACATCTTTGTACCTAGATAAAACGTTCGAAAGATTGTCAGTCATGTCATACGCCACATTTTCTATAGAGCGTAGAACATTGCAGATAGGGCAAAATAAAAAATAATCCAATATATTATGGGAACTATTTATTAATAATATACACATTTATAGGTATTTATAATAAAAATAATGAACAAGCTGCAAGGTTCAACTAATAATGTTTTTGTAAACACAATCGTAAAATTCCTGTTTTAATTTTTACCAATGGTTACTTGATGAAACGTAGTCAAGATCACTTCATATAAAATATATTTAATTAAAAATGACACGTGACCTATTTGGCCTTCTACTTACAACTCGGCGGAAATTTGAAAAGAAGATTTTGTCTTTTCACACAAGTATTGTTTACAACTGGCATGGTTTCGAAAAGCGTGATTAAGTGTCAGCGGTATATAATCAATTAAATACTGAACTTTATTGAAATTTATTTTTTTATTTATTTTTGTTATATCTTCTTAAAAACTGACGCCATCTCACTATTTTATTATTTGTTTTTTTTTTTGTAAGTTAGATTAACTTGGATAAGTTTATATTTTTTTTAATTTCATCACAAAGTTTCCGCAATAAATTATTACCTTTTCTACAGTGATTCTCTCCTCTTAGTTTCGGCGTGACTGTAGGATGTTATAGTGAGTCACCGTCAGTTACTAAGCGGCCATAAATCATTATATGTATGTATAGACATACATATATACATTTTTTGATTTTAATATTTATGTTTTTTGAATTTTGATTGATATTTTGAAACCTGGTAAATTACTTTTTTCCATACCAATTGATGGGCCTGAGTATAATGACAGTTATGCTCTTTGGCTGAAGTTATTTTTTATTTTATGCTCAATTGCAGACAAAAAAATATTGATTGTGCATTTCTAAAACAAAATTTTACCTCTTCTCCTTTTAATAATAGCTCCTGCACCTAACACGGCGGAATAGTTATTATTATCTATAAGACCATTTGGGAAAACAGTTTTTGTTAACAGTTATGAGTGTAACATTTTATCAGCTGCTTTGTTTATAGTGCCTTGAGCAACACTTTGCCGGTTTCTGTACAGAAAATGATGCTGGCTTTGCAAATACTGATGGCCGCTATCATTGAATATAATTCCCGCTACGTTACACTTATTTACATAGAAACTTTATTTATCATTTGTTTAAAATTCTAAATAGCACATTTTACACAAGAAAGTAAACTTTTAGATCAGTCCATTTTGTTTTTCACTAATTAAGTAAAAAGTAAAACAAACCAATAGGGCCGGGAATTAAAATTTCTTGCAACTTTTTATAGAAAAGCATGACCTTATCATAATATAAAAGTCAATCATTTAGCCATGTGATAAAACTTTTAAGTGTGCCAGTCAAACATTAATGATGATATTCGGGTCATTATACTGGAAATAGTCTTTTAAATATTTTGTAGTACAATTGATAATCTTCAGTATGATTGACCGTGTATATAACTTTTGTAAGTCTATGTTATTTTTGATGAAAATTATTAATGCAGATAAAAGCCCTTTCACATTTATTTTAGTCTCGAATTAAATTAATCAAAATGAAAATAATAACATTGGCTCTTTATAACTGATCTTTAAATGTAAAACACTGACTTGAAATTATATAATTATTGGCATTTTTTTAATTCATTGAACTTTTTTAAGATTTTGTTGAAACTCTACTGGTAAAAAAAACCAAAATATTATAAAAAAATATTATAGTTCTTGATGAAAATAATGTATGCGCGTTACATCGCATCCCATCAAGAATTTCTAATGTAATTCTTAGTGTAAAGCTAAGACGTGATAATAACTGTAAACAATAGAATAACAAAATAATGAAAACATTTACATTTACATACAAAACATTTACAAAAATACTTGCTTTATAACCTTATAAATATTATTTGACCGTAATAAAATAAAACAAGGTAGTCTTGGGCATGAAAGTAAAAATAAATATTTTCGATTATTTTTGCAATATCTAACATCCGGATCAGCGGGCGATTCTGATCCATCTAAAGATGCTAAATTTCAGCAAGCACTGTCAAATTCAATAGGAGTGACAGAAAAACGGTTCTTGATATAGAAAGGTAAATAAATTATTTAACCTATAAAGAAAAATCACTTTATTACAAATCAAAATAGCCCAATAGCTTTATTAACATGAGACACATAATTGTACGAGTGCTTACAATACTTAACATTATTTTATTGAAATCTCAGAAAGTTTTTTTTAAATAGAATAAGGGTGACAAATGAGCACACAGTCCACCTGATGGTAAGTGGTTGCTACGGACCATACACATCTACATCTATCCTCGATTACGTATCAAAATGTAGATGCGTTGTCACCCGTGAGAACTAAGATGTAATGCCTCGTTTCCAGTAAAAAGGTCCTCCGGTTCTCTACACTCACAGTACGAAACACAGCAGGGTTAAACTGCTATTTTACATGTTATTCCGTGAGAGCGTGGGCCTTTCCCGGTCGAGCCGACCCATTCGTGCTACAACTATACCTAATAAATATAGCTGTAGCATGGCTCTACCATGTAAAAAAAATTGACGTTGAAAATTTAAGTATATTTAGAAGCAACTTGCAATTATTTTCTATTGAGTTAATTTTTGTCGAATCGTGTTTTGCAAACCGCCACCTGAAATACGTACAATTTTTTTTTCTATAATGACGTGAAATTACAAAACCATCCCCATGCATTTCAATGTGGCTCTATTCAGCCTCTTAATATGAACATACCTCGGATTTCAGAGATAATGGAAGATATAATATTATATTATTACTTTTCCGTGTGAGGCAACCTTTATACTTATATACATATTCTCATCATATTTTTATGGTTGGTTAGAAAAATTATATCTAAATGCAAACTTTCACAGGGTAAATTTTTTTTTACTATTTTTACCCAGCAAGTAGTAAAGCAACTACAATCCCATCGGTAAGTGGTTATGTAGTCTAAGATGGTGAATTACACTGACTTAACAAAAACCTATTCACTCTTGCCTAATAGTACTAGGTAAGTATTATTTGCGACCTATTTGTGTGTGTGTGTGTGTGTGTGTGTGTGTGTGTGTGTGTGTGTGTGTGTGTGTGTGTGTGCGTGCGTGCTTGAGAATACGTGAAGAGGAATAAAGGTTGAGTACTAATTCGCTTACCTGTACGAGGTTGTCACTCGAGGACCTTTCTTCCCATTTTTTATATGTTTTCCAAGTTATATAGCTAGCCCATTGCCATTTCACTGTAATATTCCGTTGAGCTATGTCAATTACTCTGGTTCTAATGCAAATACCTTCATTTCTAACTTTATCACGTAGAGAAAACCCTCTCCAATTTAAAATTTTTACATTTTTTAGATGATAGTTTGTCTAATAATAAAAAAAACCATAAACCCAAGAATGTCTTTATATAATTATTTATACTTAGGTAAGCACCATTCTTTTATTTATTTAAATTGTTTGATTTAATTTGATAACTGTGTACCTAAACGTAAGTACCTGTATCTTTATTTCTCTCCCCAATAATATTTTATAAAGTCATACTTATAAAAACAGCGTTTTATTATAATACATAATTATAAAATTCATTATCAACTAATTAATAAAAATATGCAACAATAAAATTACATAGGTATTAAAAACTATCGCAATCTAAGTAACGAGAGCATGTTCGTCGTTCCACATCTAAATTATATAAAAATGCATTTTTCAATTTCACTAATCAACGTCGCCGCAAAAATTTCTTCTTCTTTGGGCACTTTAAAAATTCATTTATTTAGAAAATAGTATTTACAGTTACCAGTGTACAGATATTAACTAAATTAAGTATTTCTAGTCATAAAAATATTTATAATTGAGTATTAACTTTTAAAAAACTAATATATATTTGAACGAAGTCGCTCCAACACCGACGTGCGGTCCACCCTCGACGATGTCCGAAAACGGACTGTGACAGAGCTTACATGGCGACGGAGCATGCGCGCTCGCGTAAATATATTCAATTTCAGGGAAAAATGATATATTCTCTTATAAAACGGGTAATAAAAATAAAACTCTCAATTAAAAATATTAATATTTTTAAGACCTTTTTTTTAGTGTAAGAACTGTTTAAAAAGCTTGTACCGTTTTGGAGATATTTTGCAAAATATGACAAAGATAGGTACTCTTTGGGGATTTTTTTCTAATAAGGGGTTGACAAAAATACAATTTTGTTAAATTAAAAACATTTACCAAATCTTCTTCTGTAACCCTGTATTTTTTCTTTGTGGATTAAATGAACAGTTATTGAGATTTTTTTACTTAAATATCCTAGATTTAGGCATTTCAACCACTGTTAAGGCCTTAATATCTGTAATTGGTTTTGACTGGTAATCTGCGACGTGCACGAGAGTGTTATGCTTTCGGTGGCATATTTTGCATCCTGGCTTTTTGCAGTGATTTGCATAATGTCCTGAATTAAGACAATTGAAACATACTTTATACTCTGGCAGTAACTGTAGACGCACATCGTTACTTAATCCAAGAAACTGAGGACAACTGCTTAACTTATGGTCACCCTTACATTTAGGACACAGTTTGGCGGAAAAGGCCGAACCGTTTTTATTACCGGTATCCCGCACTGAAACCATTGCCTTAACTTTTGGAGCATATTTTATAGAAGAATTTAAACGGTTAGTAGCACCAGAATTAGACATTTCTAGTGTTTCGATTAAATCGGCTCGATTTTTTAAAAACATCAAAAATATATCGAACGTAATAGGTGTATCTTTCTCCAAACGACCTTTAGACTCTTCCCATTCACGATATGTCTTAGCATCTAATTTTTGAGTAATAATATGAATGAGAAGTGTGTCCCATTGTTTAGTTGGCTCACCGAGAGATTCTAGTGCACGTAAATTTTTATTTATTTGGTCAATAAGACGTTTTAAGTTGACAGACAATTCTTTATTAATTGGTGCTATATTAAATAAGGCTGTCACGTGATTTTGAATTAGTAGTCTTTTATTATCATATCTATCACATAATATAGTCCATGCGACGGTGTAATTAGCTGCCGAGAATTCGATTGACTGTATTACCACAGCAGCGGGCCCTTCCAACGACGCTCTCAGATAGTGAAACTTATTTATGTCATCTATCTCGTCATTTGAATGTATGAGGCTCATGAACGTGTCATGAAACTCTAACCAATTATCATAAGAACCATTAAATTTAGGTAGTTGAATAGTGGGCAGTTTAACAAATTTATGATTGCCGGAATGAGAGCCACCGTCACTGCTTACGTCATCTGACTTAATGCAATCTGCTAAGATCCTTTTTGCAAGAGAAAGCGATTTAAAATACAGGGATTCAAAATCAGTTCGTTCTGATATCTGGGCGTCTATATTATCAGTATTACACTCGATGGATAATTGTACCTCATCATATCGTTCATACATTGACTCAATCCTACTAATACGTAATTGCAACTCATTTACCTCAGTAGCAGCCAATGAAGATACCTTCAGTGAATTTAAATAATTTGAAAAAGCTGTTATTTGTCCCTTGTAACTAGCTCGTTTCCTAATTTGCTCCTTATCTTCTGGCATGCTGGCTGGTATTGGGAGACTAGTGCAAATGCCTGAAATTTATACAAACAAGAAGTTTATATTTTATAAAATATAATTCATAAGTAGTTTTATACAATTTTGCTTACAGTTGTAAAGAAATGAAAACTAATTCCCTTACTTATTTTTCAAACTCTTAAATAATTAAACAAAATGATACATGTACTACCTTGATATTTAACTTTATAATTAACAACAATTAAGGGTAACAAATACAATTCAGACCATCAAACAGCTTCACAGGTATGCCTTAGTATGTAATAAATAATATTATGCAATTTTTTCAATTATACACTCTCTTGACTTATTTTTTTTTTAAAAAACAGTTTAAACCAATAAAGAGAAAAAAAAAATTATAATATCGTCAATATAATTTAACTAAGCTTTATAATTTGATTTAATCATGATTTGACGGTTATTAGAAACTATATAAAACAATATTAAATGAATTTTAGCCGATTAAATACTTTAAGTTATACGTAATTATTTTATAGGTAATTTGGTACTAACCTGATAAATTAGCAGTCGATTTACACAAAATACTACCTGATAATGAGTGCTGGGTTAAATAAATTAAATAATAGTCCAATATCTAAGGGGCTAAGACTCCAGATTTCTTGGTTAAATATCTTCACTCCCTCGGTGGTATTTCCACAACGAATATTTAAGACTTCCCAAGCGTATTCCACTAAATAATATCTTGTCCAATTACGTTTTTTCAAATCCGGCTCGAAGGACCATGAATAGGAATTTGATCTCTTTTTAATAGTAAAATGCAGTAATTTGCTCAATCGACCTTTACTTGATCTCTAAATTTTACAACGACGACAGGTACAACATTTTTTAAACATACCTACACAGCTTACGGACTAATATTGGCATGAGAACTGCTAATATAATTTGACAGGCGCTTCAACAGATAGTATGACCTCGGATATCTGTTATGAGAGCTATAAAACAACACCATCGATCCTTTTGGCTATTTATAATAAATGTCTTGAAATAGGCTATTTCCCAAAGATATGGAAAAAAGCAATCATAAAAATTATTCCGAAGCCTGGAAAAGTAGACTATACTGTACCTAAAGCATATCGTCCAATTGGCTTGTTGCTAGTATTTGGAAAAATTTTAGAAAAGCTCTTTGTAGGCAGATTACTCTGGCAGCTTGGAAGGGAAGGAAAATTCAGCAATCGACAATATGGTTTTATGCCACAACGTAGTACAGAGGACGCACTATATGACATAATGACAGTGATAAAACAAGGCATAAAAGAAAAGAAGATAGTTGTTATGGTATCCCTCGACATAGAAGGGGCTTTTGACAATGCTTGGTGGCCCCAAATAATAAAAGAAATCCAAAGGAAAAATGTGAACATACACAACCTAAGGCTCATTACCAGCTATCTGTCTTCAAGGAGTGTTATAGTGAAATATGCAGGAGCAATAGCCACCAAACCTACAACTAAAGGATGCATACAAGGATCGACCTGTGGACCCATACTCTGGAACATCCTTCGCGACCCCCTTCTTGAATTAAGTTCAGATATGGATGTACATCTTCAGGCATTTGCTGACGATATTCTTATCATCGCAAAAGGAAACTCAGCAAAAGATGTAGAAGACAAACTTAATCCAGCTTTAGAGAAAATAGTAACATGGGGCAAAATGCACATATTAAATTTTGCACCACATAAGACACAATCTATCGTAATAACCAAAAAGTTATCTTACGAATTACCTATAATTAAAATGGACAAAATTATTATACAACCATCTACAAGTCTAAAAGTACTTGGCGTCACCATCAATAAAAATTTAAACTTCGTAGAACATCTAGATGAAGTCCTCGGGAAGGCAATAAAAATTTACAAAATGATAGCAAGAACAGCTAAAGGTCATTGGGGACTTCATTCTGATATAGTAAAAACAATATATATAGCAGTAGTTGAACCAACCATTCTTTATGCAGCAAATGTCTGGGCTATGACGGTGAAAAAAGAATATATGAAGAAAAGACTGGAGCGCATAACAAGAATGTTCGCAATCAAAATCTGTAAAGGTCACAGAACAGTCTCTTTCACGTCTAGCGTTATACTGGCAGGAATATTCCCTCTCGACTTAAGAGCAATGGAACGACTTTCGCTCTACGAAATAAAACAAGGAAAGCCACTGAACCAACTTCCGGGAAGAGACATCGAAAAACCAATAAGTCCTTTTTGCCTACCCCATCCTGCTGAAAGATGTCGCATGTCTTTTGAGCTGATAAGCTCTCTAGATCAGGAACAAGCAATAGACTGCCTAAAGCCAAGGTCATATACGGATGGAAGCAAGCTGGAAGGGAAAGTTGGTGGCGCTGTCAGTGTATGGAAAGATGGCAGCGAAATACGTAAGTTTACCTTTCGGCTAGAAAGTTATTGTAGCGTTTATCAGGCAGAGCTTGCCGCAATATTAAAAGCGTTAGATATGGTGTGCAAGTTCGGCGAATTGAAGAAAGGAATAATCCTAAGCGATTCACGTTCAGCTCTAGAGTGCCTAACGGACAGCTCGTCCCTTCATCCTTTGGCAGCTGAAATACGAGAGCGCATAAGATCATTAGTAAATAAAAACGGCGAGGTTAAATTTTACTGGATAAAGGCACATATCGGTATACCTGGCAATGAAAGGGCTGATGAGCTTGCCAAAAAGGCTGCACTATCCAACAAACAAGCACCAGTTTATGACAAGTGTCCGCTATCCTTCGCGAAGCGACTAACCAGGGACTCTACCTGCGTGAAGTGGCAGCAGCGATATAGCGAAGCAGCAACAAGAGCAGTCACGAAAAATTTCTTCCCTGACGTAAGAGAAGCTCACAAGACACTGAAACAGATAAGAATGGACAATATTAAAGCTCAATTATTAACTGGTTATGGAGGATTTAAGGCTTATTTGTTTAAGTTCAAGTTGGCGCAATCCCCATCTTGTGTTTGCGGTAATGAAATAGAAGAAAAAATTGAACACCTGCTAATAGATTGTCCTAGATTCACTATTCAAAGAATGGAATGCGAGCACAAGATGGGAATTGCAATCAATATAACAAATTTAAAGTATGTAATTAACAATGATGACTGCCGTATCCATTTTCTTAAATATGCAGAATATGTCGTTAGGTGTGCAGGAAAAGCGAATGGATCGAAAGTAGATATTTAATTATAAAAATGTAGATTAATAATTATATAATATTAAATGTGTTAGATATTAATAATAAATGTAGACGAGCAATTAATAAAAACATATAGAGCAATAAATACTTTTTATTGTATAACATAGTATAGGAAATGGTTGTAAATAGTACTTGCTGTAATAGTATTCCATAACAACATAATAATATGTATAATATATAGCCAAGGAAAATTAATAAATAAAAAAAAGTAAAAAAAAATGAAAGGAAAGAAAAAAACAGAAATTCATAAGAAAAGCATTGGCAATAAAAACAAAAAAAAATATATGCTACATAGAGAAAAGAAAAGAAATATAAAAGGAAAAAGGCAAAAAAAAATATATAAAAAAAAGAATAAAAAAAAAGAAAGTTAATATAACAAAAATATGTTAGATGTAGATGTATATTATATTAGATAACGGGTGGCGCACTTAATAACTTAATTTAACTTACTTTAAGTACCATATTTTATATAACTTAATTAATAATTGTAAGAATACAGTAAAATAATGTTACTTTAGATAGTAGAGAATACTGTACGAATGATATATGATAAGATAAATGAATACATGACTAATAACAATACTAAATGTTAAAGGAAAATAATTCTAAACAGTAAAAGATAATGATAAAAAAAAGCAAAAGTAGTTAAATCTTAAGTTAGGAAGTATATAAGAGTTAGTAGGATATAAGTAAATAAGCATATTTAGTTGTTAAGTTAAAAAAAAAGGATATATAAGTATACGAAATAAACAACGATAGTGACAAATGGTGCTAAATGTATAGCAGCAGTAAAAGAGAATTAAAAAAAAAACCTAACCTAACCTAACCTAACCTTTATTTTTTTTTTACGGGGGGAAATCCTCATGGACTACCTCCGCCTGGGGAAAGGCGGAGGGGCGTGCCGGACTCTTACCGGCTAAAGCAGATAGGGGTGGCGGGGGGATTCCCCAAGTCCCTCCCCTGGACCCATTTATGGGGGCCGGAAAAGGGCGTTGTCCGCCCTTCTCCTGCGCCCGGTGCGCCTTCTGCGGCCAGGGAAGGGAGTCGAGATCTCCCTTTCCCGTTCCGCAGTTTCCTTCTGCGACATCACGTCCTCGCAGAAGGACACCACCGCATCCCACGACTCTGCGCTACCGACCATCTTCCGCACTAAGGCCGGCAGCGACAGATCGCCTCCTACTTTATTTGTGAGGACACGGCGCTGCTCCTCCCAAGCTACACACTCGGCGAGCGTGTGTTGCGCCGTGTCCTCCCCGCAATGGACGCAGTGGTGGCACCGAGCGTCCGGCTCCCTGTCTATGCGGCGCAGGTACTTGCCGAAGCAGCCATGCCCCGACATCACCTGCGTCACCTTAAACGACAGGGAGCCGTGCCTTCTCCCGAGCCAGTCGTCGAGTACTGGCCGGATCGCCTCGACGGTAGCGAGGCCTGCGGTAGGGCGCAGAAGCCTTTGCCGCCATTCCGCCACCAAGACCTGACGGAGCTCCTCTCGGCGCAGCGTGATCTGCCGCTGCACCGGCCTCGAGCCCCGTGCCCGCTCTTCCTCGCGCCATCGATATAATGACGCGAGTACTTTTGCCTCTAGGTCCCAGGGCGGGGATCCGGCCAGGACGCAAGCCGCCTCGTAGGAAATCGTGCGATACCCGCGGGCGACTCTGACGGCCATCGCCCTCTGCGGTTTACGCAGAATAGCGAGAGTGCTGGCCGTCATGTCCATCGCCCACACAGGGGCCCCATACAGGGCCATGGACCGCACGATTCCCACGTACAACCGCCTACAGGCGGCGCTCGAGCCCCCCAAGTTGGGAAGCAACGTTGATAGCGCGCCCGCTGCACCTATCAGCTTGGGCGCCAGCCGCCGGAAGTGGGGTCCGAATTCCCATCGGCTGTCGAGCACCAATCCCAGATACTTCATGGTGGACTCGACAGCTATCCGGGCCCCGCTGACCACGATGTGTGAACCCAGCGGCGGCGCGCGTCGAGGGCCATGGAACACCATGGCCTCCGACATATTTAGGGCCACCTCCAGGCCCAGGCGCCGGATGCGGTTCACCACTTGTGACACCGCAGCCGTGGCAACCAACGCTGCTTCCCTGTGTGAACTCCCCCGGGCAGTGACGAGCGTGTCGTCCGCATAACACGTCAAGTCGGCGCCTGACGGGAGTTCACCTCTCAGCACCCAGTCGTAGCCGATGTTCCACAGGAGCGGTCCCAAGACCGATCCCTGCGGAACACCGCACGACATGACGCGCCGACCAGCGCCGTCACGTCCCCAATAGGTAACGCATCTCTCCTTAAGGTAAGCCCCTATTGTGCGGCGGAGGTAGGGAGGCACGCGATGGTAATTCAGCGCCTCCCGAATACAACTCCAGGGTAGGGTGTTGAAGGCGTTGAAGATGTCTAAGGACACCGCCAGCACCACCCCACCCCGGGATACTGTCTCCTCCGCCAGGGCCCTCACACGCGTAATAGCGTCTATGGTGGAGCGCCCGCGACGAAAACCAAACTGGTTCACGTCCAGGTCCGGCCCCTCTCTGCACAAGTGGCTGACGAGGCGATCTGCGATGATGCGCTCAAGAAGTTTGCCCGCCTCGTCGAGCAGCACTATGGGCCGGTACGCGGACGGTGAGTCCGCGGGGCACCCCTCCTTCCTGAGCAGGACCAGCCTCCCCTCCTTCCACACACTGGAAAACTGATCCTGCTCGAGACATGCCGTGAAGAGCCCTCTCAGCTGGGGCTCTAGCTCCTTCAGAGCCAGGACGAGAGCTCGACCAGGAACTCCGTCGGGTCCGGGCGCTGTGTTCTTAGCCCGGAGTCGCGACACGGCCGCTCTCGTCTCTGTTCTGTCTCGGGGACATCGGTGCTCTCCTCTTCTGGAGAGTCTGTGGCTGAGGGCGAAGCCATCGCCGGGGGAACGTGTCCCACTCGCTCAGGGAAGAGAGCCGATACCACCGCCTCTAGCAACTGGGGTTGCATCCTTTGTGTTAGTGGAGGCGCCCAGGGACGCAACTTGCCCCGAATCCAACGGTAGGGGCGCCCCCACGGATCCCGATCTAGGGACCCCAGCAGCTCCTCCCTGGCACGCGACTTTGAGTCGCCGATGGCCAGCCACAGAGTCTCCTTAGACGCGCGGTACACCTCATACAGCGCGTCCTCCTCGGCGGAATCCCGTCGACGCCGCCTCCGGTATCGGGTGTACCGGCGACGAGCCGCAACGCACGCTATGCGCAATTGCGCGATCTTGGCGGTCCACCAGTACACCTGGCGCTTTGCGGACCGTTGGCGGACACGGGGCATAGACGCGTCACAGATCTGCGTCATCGCCCCGCGAAACCATAGCGCCACCGCTTCGACGTCGACGGGGCCGTCCGTCGTCGACTCCCAGATCCAGGACTGAACTAGGGCAGCTACCTCGAGTAGTTCCCTGTCGATGCGCTTAAGCGCCCAACGCGGGCCGTCGTTAATCGGGGTTGTTGGATGGCGGCCGCTCGCAGTCTGGGCAGAGACGTCGAACCGGATATATCGATGGTCCGACAGCGTCTCCACCTCTGCGGCGACACGCCAGTCGCAGACTCGGCTGGCGACAGAGAGGCTATCAAACGAGACGTCCACTATCGACCCACCCCGCTGCCGCACGCACGTGTATTCCGAACCCCGATTCAGGACGACCAGACCAGTCGTCACCGTCCACTCTTCTAGCACCTCGCCCCGAGGGTCAGTGACCGGAGATCCCCACGCCGATGACTTGGCGTTGAGATCCCCGAGCACCAGAACGGGACGAGGGTGATAACGGCCTACGACGGCGCCCAACTCGACAAGGAAACCCTCAAAGTTGGCGAGACTCTTGTTGGGGGAGAAATACACCCCTACAATAACGATGCCGCCCGAGATCGCAGCAACCCAGCCGCGGCCCCGAGACGGGTCGATCAGAGTCTCGCCAATTATGGCCACCAAACCGTCAGTGCATCCCAACCAGTTGTCACGGGCGGGAATGAAGTACGGTTCGGCGACCACAGCCACGTGAATCGACCACTCTGCCATGCTCTGGAGTAGGAGATCCTGAGCTCTGGCACAGTGGTTGATGTTGCCCTGGAGAAAATGGAGAGAATGGAATTGTGCCATTATTGACATTCCATCCCCTCGGCAACTGTCCTGGGCCGGGAGTCGGCCGCGGAGCTGCTAGCCAGCGGGGGCAGCGAGGTTAACCTGGCAGGCTTAGTGCTCCTCTTCTTTTCTTTTTTCTTTTTGGCCTTGCTGGCAGGCGCCCCACAGGCCCCTCCGCCTACTCTGTGCTCTGCAGGCCTTCCCGCAGCAGAACAAAGGCTGCAGTTGAACGCCGCGGTGCACAGGGCCGCCTTGTGGCCAGGCTAGCCGCAGCGAAAACAGAGGTCACTACGGTCAACCTCAGCGGTGCACTTCGCCCGGAAGTGCCCTTTTTCCAGGCACCGGAAGCACTGCAAATCCCGGGGCTGTAGAAGCTTGGTTTTTGCCGCCACCCAGCCTACCAGCAATCTGCCGCTATCAGCGATCTTCTTCGCCGACGCCACAGGGCACCGAACCCAGACCATGCCGAGTCCGGAGTCGTCGGTGCGTATATCGCCAGCCCGCACCTTGTCCGGTGGACACTCTCCGCTTCTGGCAACGGCCGCCACCACCTCCTCAGAGGTCACGGAGTCGTCCAAGCCAGCAATCCGCACCTCTGCGGTTTTCATTGGTCTGGAGACCCGGACGTCCTCAGGGTTGAGGACCTCCCTCATTTTGGCGGCCAGTGCGTCCGCCTTTTCGGCACTGCTGCTCACAGTGCCAGCCACCTCGAACAGCCGTGCACCCGTGGCAGCCTGCCTGAGGGTGACGGACTGAAGGCCAAAATCTGATAATTCTTGGCCTTGGCCTCAGCGATGACCGACTGGTACGTCACGCCACGCTCCACAGCTCCGGGCTGCAACGTAAGCGTCACGGCATTGGACCGCGGAACGTGCACAGTCCG